CACGACTCACGACTCAGCACTTTTACTTCTGTTTCCTCACACTCCCCTCCCCTCACTGGCAGACTGCACAGGACGAAGGGAGACAGGGCCACACCAGCCCAGATCAGAGACAAAAACAGAAAGTCTCAGGGATGGAGAGTTAAGACACTCAGAGAGAGGGTGACATGGGAACACAGAAAGTGAAACAAAGACAGCAGGCCAGACACTCCAAGACAGCTATACTCAAAACACCAAGGGAAAGGAGGCCACACACAGCCATCCAGATGTAGCTGAAGACTGTAGCTGGAGCCATAAACCAGAGCTATAGACCCTGGCCAAGCGTTGGGATTTGGGACCCTGTGCCCAACCCCTGACCCCTGCATGGCAAGACAATGAAGGGGGAAGGGAACTCCTGTGAAATGATCACCCATTCTCTCTAATGATCACCAGAGTCTAAAAGGCAGCTGGGCAGCCCACCCTCCCCACTGACGGCAGACAGCCCAAACCCAAACCACCACCTGACCCACCTTCTTGGTCATCACGCCAGCTGGGGCTCCCCGCCCCTCTTCTGGGGCCTCATCGTAGTCAGAGTCATCTGGGGAGAGAGAGGGGTGGGGGAAGACTCAGAAGCAAGGAGCCTGGCCTCCCTTCCTGGGTATCTAGGCCTGGCTTCACAAAGGCCACCTCCAGCCCAAAAGAGACCCTCCCACTCCCACCCTTGTCTAGCTTCCAAAAAAAGACACAAGGGACAGGAAGTGCTATTTATACCCTTGGAACTCATAGGATGGCACTAGGGGGTTCCTGGCCACCGCAAGGAGGTCTGAAGAGGTGGCAAGCTTGGGGGTCTAGGGCAGGGACTGTCTAAACAAGACTAAAAAAAGCAACATGAATCAAGAATCAAGAAAAGTAGACAATCCGAGGGGCGGCAAACCATCCATGAGCATGGAAAATACTCCCAGACTTTAAACCATGGGCAACTCAGAAAGTTTGCCAAGTGCCTGCGCCGAACAGTCAGTAGGTCATATATGTGGGTGCTGTCTCCATTTTGAGGATGAAAAGAGTGATTCCCACACAGGGCCTTGGTGGCAGGGCCCAACAGAAAGCATAATGCAAACCTTGCATCCTTGCAGACTCCTCCAGGGCCAGATCACAAGCCACCCACCCAGAGCCCCAGGCCTCGCTATAGCACTCACCGAACTCTGGGTGCAGGCGAAGTGGCTTCGGGGGGATCTCTGGGGGACTGGGAGACAGGGGATAGGGAGGCCCCACAGGGAAGGTAGCTGGGGGCTCTTCAGGCTCTGGTTGGGGAGAGGATGACAGTGGTAGTGACAGTAACTCCTCTTCCTTGGAGGGAAGGCTGGGAACAGACCAAAAGTTGGGCAACAAGGGGTTAGCTCAGTGCTGCTGAGTCACTGAGCAAGTGTTACCATGCAACAGAGCCAGGACTCAAACCCATTGGGCCCCCAGCTCACTTGAGCTGCAGCAAAACTCATTCTCCCACAAACTCAGACAGGAGCCCGCCTCCACACAGCCCTCCTCACCTCACTTCCCTACCCCAAACACTATAAGCTCCCTAAAGCCTAAGGAAGCAGGTCTCTTCTTTGGCTGCATTGCTCTGACATGATAACCTGTTCTCAGAGCTCTAGCTTTTAGCCACATGTACCTACTGGGTCTCCAATCTAGAAGAGGAATGAAGACCAGAACGGGGTGGAGGTGGCTTACATCTTAGCCTAGGGAGTCAGGGAATGCTGGAGGATGCGAGACTTGAGCTGAGCTTGTAAGGATAAGGTGTTTGTTGGAGAATGGATGGGGAAAAAATGAGAATCGAGGCCAAGGGCACAGATCAGAGCCTCAGAAATTAAGTCCTGAGGTCCTGAGTCATGGATCTCTGGCTGAAGATCATCCTCTCTCTTGTCCCAGACGTGGATATTTATCATCCCCCAGATGTCCTCAGACCTCTCAAACTCACCTGATCCCACCACCTTCCTCTTGCATATCAGCTCCTCACCTCTGCTATTACTCCCCCAGGAACCCTTCCCTGACTCTCCAAGGCCAGGTTCAGGGACCCCCTGGGCTCCCAAAGCCACAGTGCTCCTGTCAGTCTGTCTCAGCACAGATCACACTGTTCTCAGGCTGACAGTTTTCCAAAGGGCTTTGGCGTCAGAGACGTAGGTTTGAACCTTGCCTTAGTCTTAGCTTCTGTGTGCTGGGGCAAGTGCCTAGCCTCTCTGAGCCCCAGTTTCCTCTTTTGTACAGTGGGGACTATATCACTGACCTGACAGGATGGTGGGAAGATTAATCAAGACAAGGCATATCATGTGCCGGCACACAGGATGCACAAGGACCACCAGTTGGAACAAGGTGCCTGAGCTCCAGAGGCCTGGCCCCACCTGCTGTCTCTGCCAGGGTCCAACAGCAGGCCAAGGAGTAGGTGGGCAACTTTTCCCACCAGTTATTTCCAGCCTGGTCTATTGCCCAATGTTCCTGGCAGTGACTAGTAGTATATGACCATAGTAAAAGCAAGAAAGGGCTGGGGCATGATCATGATGCCAGGCCTTTGTTCCTGATGTTGCCTCCTCCAGGAATACCCTTTTCCCTGGTCTCTGCTAACGAACATCTACTTATCCTTTAATTACAAACTCAAGTCCGCTTCTCTGAAAGTTTTTCCTGACTCCTCTTTCATGTACAAGGAATATCCGTGTCCATGTACATGATCCCTTCTGTTATGAGCTTTAGACAAACTATTCCAAATACAAATTATTTAAGTATCTCCCTCTTTTGTGCCAGGTACTGTGCTAGCATCTAAGCCAGGACCTAACCCCTGACTCCACAGTCTACATGCTTCTTAGGACACATGGTTACTTCCACATCACCCTATACTCTAATTGTCTCTTCTCCATGCGTAGGCAAAGAATGAATGAAACTCTTTAGCTTTCTGTGTGAGAATCAGACTTTTGGTGATAGTATCCTCACTCTGTTCTCCTAGAAACCTGCTAGAGGTGGTATGTCAGCTATGTTCCTAGACAACTCAGGCAAAAATGGCCTGAGTGAGGAACTGCACCTGGACTGGGAGAAACTGTAAGTGGTCTCTCAACTTGGTGAAGAAGCCAGAACTGTGGGTTTCCCTGAGTGTCATGGCTTGTAGATTGGCACATTCCATGAAGAAACCTGAAAACACATCTGTGGGATTTTTAGAAGACATAGTGGCCCCTTCAGGCAAGAATTTTATAAACAAGGTGACTCTCACAACTGTCTGCTGTGAGTTTCAGTCCCCTACCCTTGAGCTGTCCCCTGAAGGGCCACAGAGAATAGATCTTGGAAAGCTGTGTAGACAGTGGCAAAGACCACTATAAAGACCCCATAGCAGAAGAAGACCTGCCACTGCCTGGTGGCCAGCTGTTCCCTCCCTATATGCTTCTTACGGAATCTGATGTTAAGTGAGCCTATGGTAGTTCAGAGGGCATGAATGTTTAGCTGGACCAAAGAAGACTCCCTGGTGGGCACTGCACCAGGCTGTCTCCCTGACTTGACCTTGACTCTCTTTAGGGCAGGGGCAGCATTGGACTTGACTCTTTATTCTCACAGCCCAGTATAGGGCCTGGCTGAGTCAGCAACAAGAGCATGTTGAAAAAGGTGGGTGGGCAGATGACTGGATGGGTGAACGGACAGAATGAGTGGATGAATGAATGGATAGATGGATGGGTAGGTGAATAGGGTGGCTATGACGGTTGGGTGGAAAGCAAATGACAGGGTGAATGATGACCAAAAGATTGAGTGAGTGCCCATAGGCCCAAGGGCATGACCTGGGGTACTGGCCCCCAACTGGCCAGGTGCAATGTCTTTGGAGACCTCTTGACAGGCAAAGCAATCTATTACACACAGTCTCCCAGATTCCAAGAAGAAGGGGCCCTTAGAGGCCCAGCATGATCAGCTGAGAGCAGAATTCCAAGCTGGCCCAGAGAAAGTGGGGACAGGCTCCGCCCCTCCAAGCCGAGCAGGGCTGAGTGGGCCTGGATCCCCAGCCTCTGGCAGGATTGAGGGCCAGCACTGAGGAGGAGAAGGTGGTGGAGCCCGAGCATCCCTGGAGCCCAAGCAACTTCAGCCTTCCTACCTCTAGCCCTCAATCCTCCCTCATCACTGTCCTGATCATCTGTGAGGGATGTACCTATCTGAGGTCTCTCCAGCATGTGGGCAACCTGAGGCAAGTGCCACACTACCTTCTTCACTATGGTGTGCGCAGCACTCAGCAGCAATTAGTAAATGAAGACCTGGATTAATTAATTATTATTAATTATGTGTGTATGTATTCCCAGCCATCTTCTAAGTGCTTTACGTGGAGTCATCCATCTACTCACTACAAAAGCTCTATAAGGCATGGCTTGCTGTTCTCCTCACTTTACAGATGAGAAAACTGAGGCACAGAGACACGAAGAAATTTGCCCTTCATCCCACAGCTGGAATTTGCACACACGTAATCCAGCACCATAGCCTACAAGCTCAACTGGTGGTGAATGAGGCCACAGCCAGGATCTGAGGGCTTCTCTGAGGTCAGCCTCCTCACACCCCACCCCAACGCAAGATCTAGGCAGCTCTGGGGCTGATGTTTGGTCCAAGAAGGGATGTGATTACAGCTCTGGTAGCCACTGTGACCATGGCAAGAAGGCAGAAGGAAACAGATGCAAAGGGCTCCTCCCCAAGCAGAGCCTTCACAGGAAAAGGGCTAAGTGCCAAGAATGTGGGGATAAGAGGGCTCCTCATGGACCTCCAGACCTCATTCTAGCCACCTCCTCCAAGAAGCCTCCTGGCTGACCCGTGCCTGCCTACCACAGGGGACTGGGCCACGCTAAGTCATGGCCAAGCCCAGGAAAGAAGAAGTGGTGTCAGGAAGGCTCAGCATGTGGGAAAACCCCAGGGGACCGGGCAGAGCCCACAGAATACCCACACCCCAGCTGGAGTCCTGGCCATTCACTCCTAAGAGCAGCCCCAACTCCAATTGGAAGCTGAGGCCCAGCTGGGATATTTCCTTTTGAACTCTGACCCACTACACCAGAAGATCAGCCCAATCCTGAGCACATGCTCAGTAACCCCACCTCCAAACCTTTGCTCAAGGCTTCTTCCTCCTTCTCACTGCCCTCTCCCTATCATCTCAGCCCATGGAAAGCTCATCTGTACCTCAAAGCACAGCTCAATGGGCCTGACCTATAGGCAGCCTGAGATGCCCACACAGAGCGGTGCTCCCCTTGCTCCCGCCCTTGGCTCCCCTGCTCCTTCAGCCCCTTTCTCCTCTACCCAAGTGACATATGAACCCATCAGCTCTCCCCATTATGCCCACAGTAAGAGCGAGCACTCTTGGCAAGGGCTGATCCACTCCAGCCTGGGCCTTCAGCTTAAGGATTATCTTACTGGATTAGGGCAAATACACACAGCCGACCTTATACTTAGGGGCTGCAGGACATGTGAGGGTCCCCAGCCACAATGGGTAAGAGTAGGGGGACCATACAATTAATCATATAAACCAGAACATTTCTGAGAGTTAAATGAGGCACTATTAATAACCATGTCCAGGCAACTGGTATAAACAGGGTCTGTCCCAGGCAAAACGAGATGTGTGGTCACTCTAGCTAAGAGAGAGATTTGGGGCCAGGCAGACCTGGGCTTGAATCTTCATCCGTTTGTGACCTCACAAAGCAGGTTACTTCATCTTTGAGCCTCCTCTCCGATCTGCTTCCAAGCTTACTGATCACTCAGCAAGGAGATATACTCCCACATTCATCAGCACAACTTTCTCACCCTGGCTATGGCTAAAGGAGGTTCAGGCCCCACAGGCTGGGTTAGGAACCTGCTTCACAGCCTCCTCCTCCAGGATGGCCCTTGACTCTGCCTCCATATCTTTCTGTCTACATCAATCTCTGGCAAAAAGAACTAGGCTTCACCATAAGGTCAGGCTGACCTTGAACTCATCCTCTACTCACATTCCAGCCATCTTTGATTGAGCTGCATTCCATAAATGCATACTTCTAGGCCTTTGCATATGCTGTTACATCCACCTGTAATACCCCTCCTTGTCTGAACACATCCTACTTCTCCTTCGAGAGGTCCAAATCATATATCCTTCCCCTCAGAGGGGTTCCCTCCCTAGAGAGAGGCTCTACTTTGTGCCTCCCCTCATGTCCCAGGCTGGGATGGGACCTCCTTGGGACTCCTCTAGCCTCCACACTTCTGATTACCCAGTATAGTTGTGTCTGTCAATGTTTGCTGCACTGAACTGACATAGGACCAAGGATCCAGGCCTACCCTACACCTGTCCTGGAATCAGGCCCTTCCCCCTAACATGTTACACAGGCCTTAGAGGGACCC